TCTACACAACAAAAGTACTTCTAATATATGAACTATCATACTTTTATTACTCGGGTCAGATATCACATGGTTTGTACAATTAATAATTAAATTTTTTGAATTAATTATACAACTTTGAGTATAAATATGTCCTTTTCCCTACATGAGTCTAACAGACCTTATTATATCCCTTCCTTCATCACAATTCCCTACAACTTTCTTTCTTCACATCTTCTACTGTTTTTACATTTTCATTATGATTCCTTTGTTGCAACTTCGGTTTTTTATTTGTTGTTTTAGGTTATCTAAAATTTCAAAGTTTTTTTCACCACATGTTGTGCTCATTGCAATGATATTAACTGTCAATTAATTCTCGCGATTCTATTCTCAATCCAAGAGATAGAAATACTAGAATAACACGAACGACATTTAGCGGTGATTTTGGCGGCAGGTACACTAGCAGTGTACTCGGAACGACCACGGTTGGAGGCCGAATCAGACTACTCTTGGTGATGTGTCCTCGGGTTGCACCTATGGGCTGGGTTGCACCCATCATGTTCATTGTTTTTCCTAGGGAAGTGCAAATGGAAAGACTATGCATAAGGACAAACTGGCAGCCCAAATATATGGCGGTGTACACCTTTTAGTCTTGAGTTTTTGTTCCATAACGGGTTTTCCTGATACCTGAGCTCGAACTCAAAGTCTAGAGGTTCACCGTTTAAATTCCTTAGTTATTAATGTCAAATGTTTTTTTACCATTGATAGCTTATCCTGCAAATATGATGTATCCGGTATTTTGGAAATTTTGGAAATGTAAAGTACAATATCATATAAAAAATATATATAATTATAAAGTATTTACTTCTAATATTTTGTACCGTGAATTATTTACTCACACTCAATACTGTTGTAAATACCATAATAACATACACAATGGAGCATATCCAAATTCGATGTACATTGAGAAATATAACTCGTAAATAAATATTGTGTTATCATTACGATTAAATAATTAAATCTACAACTAACAACATTCAAATTCCTATTTTCTTATGAATCGTATTCAAAGTTAAAACTTCGCAATGTTTACTTTTTTTTTTTTGAAAATTTCGCAATGTTTACTTAATTACACGTACATTCATTCCAATCAAACATTGGTCTACTCTACTCAAGTTCGAAAACAGTATGAATATGTTGGTGTACACTTTCGGATACCTACACACGCATTTCAGTGGCAATACTTTGAATAATATTGTTTTTGCATGTAAGTAAATGGTCGGCCCGCCGAGGACAAAAACGCGTTTCGAAAAATGCATTTCTCAAACGCGTTTTTATCGCCGGCTAATCGCCGGCCAACCGGTAGCGATTCTAATATCATAGCCGCATTTGAGAAATGCGGCTATCGTATGCTATACGAAAGCCTCATTTCTCAAACGCGGTTATGCGTATACAAAGCGTATACGAAGCCGCATTTCCCAAATGCGGCTTATCTACACCGTTTGAATAACAAACTGTTTGCTCTCAGATGTATATCACGTATTATGTGAGAAATTCAATACTATCACATATGTTTCATTATGTTTTGAGGGGTTGGGGGAGGGATCAAATTCCTTATATTGAGTCAAGCATCTTGTGCTCAGATAGCACTCGGGTTGGACTCCTATATGGGAGGTTGTGAGTTTGAGCCCCAGTGGAGGCATTATTGGCTCTTTGTGCTTCAGTAGGTTGAGAAAGTAGTTATGAACAGATATTACATTGTAACAGAGTCAGTAGCATTCAAAAAAAAACTCCTTATATTGAGGTTTAAAGGTCTATCCTTTCCTCCTTTGGCCACTGTTCCAAGGTTCATTGGCATTACTTATTTGTCACAAGAATACTTGCTTTGATACTGCTCTGTCCTATATCTTATGAAGTGCCACTATCACATGCCACAAAGTAATGACATGGTGCATTTCATGATTGTTATGGAATATATAAGTAATATGGAATCTATATGACTATATATATATATATATATATATATATATATATATATATATATATATTAGGCAGCCTGGAGATTTATAGGGATTTGAGTAGGTAATCATATGGAAACTTATTTCTTTATTAGAAGTCTTCTAGCATGTATTTATAGGGCTGTGTATTCTCTTTTCTAATATACAATATACAACTTATTCAGAAACTCTCTCTTTACTTTCGTAACAATGACAATGAGAAAGACATGAGCACACAATATGCTTTTTCTTTCTCTGGGTGTGGAAAGAGTGCTTCTTCTGCGAATGCTAGTGAATAGAAAACCCTTCGTTTTAGTGCATTCTTGCAATAGATGTGTCTAATGTAGAGGAAAACTTTAGAACTTTGGACTTCTTTGTAGCTGGTTTGAAAGAGAAAGAGGGCGTAGAGGCATCATTTAAAAATCTCAATGGATTTACATGTAATGAATAATTTTGGACTTCTTCCAAAATTTTCTCTCACCTTCTCTGAATGTGGTTGGTGTGCTTCTTCTTTGTTTTGGATGCTAGTGAATAGAGGTTCTTATTGTATGCTTGTGATACTTGTGTCAAAAGGAGAGGAAAATTTTGGAATTTTGGACTTAGACTTCTTTGGAAAATCTCAGGAAATTTACATGTAATGCACAAATATATATATATATATATATATATATATATATATATATATATATATATACACATTTTTTTTTCAATTGTATGTATAATTCTATTTTTAGACTTTTTTGATAATCTGAATAAATTTACATGTAATCAATAATTTTATGTTTATGCCCTTTCTAGACTACTCTCTTTTGTGAACTTCTTTAGTAATCTCCCATGTAGGTTTCCCTAGAGGGTGAGGCTGCCTCAAAATCCAATTTATATACTGCATTGTTCTGCGTTCCTTAAATAATGAACTTAATTATTCAACTTTCTCTCTATATATTTATTTAATCATGGAAATTTCCATCAAAACTTCTCTGCTTTATTTGTTATTTGCCAACTTTGTACTTCATTTTGTCACATCAATAGTGTATTAGGTGCCCTTTGTGTCCACTACATTGGGCTTCTTGCAATTTATTCAAACATTGAAATTCCCATAAAAATTATTAGCTCAAAATGTTGTATGTCAACTTTGTTGGTCTTTGTTTAACAAAATTATTGATTATATGTAAATTTATTCAGATTATCAAAGATGTCTAAAAATAGAATTATAAATACAATTGAATATATATATATATATATATATATATATATATATATATATATATATATATATATATATATATATATATATATATATATATATATATATATATATATATATATATATATATATATGTAGGGAAGGGTTTTGGTGACGCACCTTAAGTATTAAAATGGCGCACCTTAAGCACACAAACAAAGCACATTAAGAACACAAATCACGCGCACCTAAAGCTTTAGACCGACGCACCTTAAGTACACAATCCACACACCTTAAGTACACAAACCACGCATCTTAAGAACACGAACCACACACCTAAGGTTTTAAAATGGCGCACCTTAAGTTTCAACAACTCACGCACCTTAAGCATACAAATCACGCACCTTAAAAAGGAAAACAACATAAGAAAAACCACGCACCTTAAGCTTCAGGTTGACGCACCTTAAGTTTTAACAACTACTCACCTTAAGCACACAAACCACGCACCTTCACAAAAATCACGCACCTTAAGTACAAAAATCATACACCTTAAGCACAAAAATCACACAACTTAAGTTTCAACAACTACTCACCTTAAGCACACGACTCACGCACCTTAAGTACAAAAATCACGCACCTTAAGAAGGAAAACTACGCACCTTAAGAAGGAAAACTACGCACCTTAAATTTGACCTAGATGCAAAAATTACCAAATTGCCACCATGTTTGTTTTTTTAAATTTTGGTAATCCTAGACGTTGATTTAAGCAAGATCAATGGCTCAGATTTAACCGCACAATCACATGGGAGACACCGAACTGCACGAGAACTGAATTATATATATATATATATATATATATATATATATATATAGAACTCCTTACTGGCCCTATTTGAGTAAGGGGGGCATAGCCCAAGACTATCCTTTATTCACTAGGCTAAAAGGGAATTCTCTTATTACTGGAGTTTGTCGGGGCGGGCTCTTCTCTTCTTACGGTGCGGTAAGATTAGGATCCTAAATATCCCCCCTCCCCTATTCCAGTTGCCGTAGTTGCTGCTTGCTTTTGCTAAGAAGAGAATGAGATATACGTGTTCGTCTTGATCAATAGAATGGGAGGCCCTCAAGAAATAAGCACTTTGATGGAGATTTGTAGCATCATTCAAGTAAATGCAGATTGAGATCGTAGAAACATGAGCTTGTGATATATATATATATATATATATATATATATATATATATATATATATATAGAGGGTAGTGATCATGTGCGAAGGAGCTCCCAGGTGAAAGATTAAGATTGGGTGAGATCTGAGCCGTTGATCAAATTTAGATCAGTGGCTCAAATCAATGAATTTTTTTTTTTTTTTAAAGCGTGTCTTGGAAGGAAGAAGCAAGTGTAAAAGTGACGCACCTTAAATGTTACAAAGACGCACCTTAAGTGGTAGAATAACGCACCTTAAGTATTAAAATGACGCATCTTAAGTCTTAACATCGCGCGCCTTCAGTTTTTAAAATGTCATATCTTAAGTGTTACAAAGACGCACCTTAAGTAGTTAAATCACGCACCTTAAGTAGTTAAATCACGCATCTTAAGTGTAGAACTAATGCACATTAAGTGTTAAAATGGCGCACCTTAAACTTTGAAATGACGCACTTTAAACTTTGAGACGACGCACCTTAAGCTTTAGAATGACGCACCTTAAGTTTCAACAAAAAAATGCACCTTGCGTTTTCAAGTGTATAACTTTCGGACCTTAAATATTAAAATGGTACACCTTAAGTATTAACAAGATGCACCTTAAGCACAGAAAATACGCACCTTAAGTTTGAACAATACTCAAAATTATCAAATTGCCATTGCATTTTTTTTAAATCTGTGTTCAATCTGGACAATTGATCTTGGCGAGATCAATAGCTATCATTCAACCTCATGTTTCACCTGGACACATCCACCGCATTTTATCTCTAACCTAACTATCGATCTGCAAGATCTAATGGATAGGAAATCAAGTAAAAAAGGAGCGGGGTCATTTCCATAAATATTACAAACTTTTGAAGTTTGTAATATTTATGAAAATGATCCCATCCTTTTTTTTCTTTATTTATGGAGTTAATAAAAGCATATACTGCCTCCTGTCATAGTGTAACCATTTGATGAGGATATAGGATTCTCTAGATAAAAAATGCTTCATTATAGGTAAGCTTTAATCTTGTCCATTTTGATTGTCTATACAGTGAACCATATGTATAGGTAGCACATATGAATGCAAGTCTGCTATAAGATGTCATCGCTAAGATGTATTGGTGGTTTGCCACTACATTCTACTTCAAGTTTGCTACTGAGATGTCAAGACCAAGTTGTATTGGTGGTGAGCCACTGCTGTCTACTGGACTATTTTTGAGAATGAACTCTTAACATACACATATATCTATGGAGGCAATGATGGCATGGATAAGCATATGCCTATGCTGGTGTACACTGGCCAAAATCTTAAATAACAGTCATCTGGGGTTTCTTTCATATTGTGATTTGAACCTGTAGGCCTTAATTAAATGGCCTTGAGTTCTCTCTCTTTCTTAATTTGAAACTCCTCCACCTCTTCCTCCCTTCTGGAATGAAAAAAAATTGCATTAGTTTTGCCTTTTGTTTATAGTCAAAACTCGGAGAATGCCTCATGTAATTTTGAGCAGTACAAACATTTTGGTTGAAAGTTTTGAGTTACCGACACAGTGACACTAGATGTATTTGCTGCAACATACATAATTACATATATAACAGAATACTGTAGTTACTGTTTTTTTTTCCTCCAGGGGCCAGAGAAGTTCACAGTGCCCCATGTGTTGGCAAGCTCTTAGCTTAAAAGACCCCAACAGGTCTCACTTTTCGTTTCTAGACAACTGACATTATTTTCAAAATATTTTCACTAATTTTTCATTGTCACTAATTTGCCAATTGGATTTCTGCTTTCAGCCAGGAATTGTTTGATGCAGTGGAACATGAGAGGAATATCAGGATGCATCCTCCCAGAAACACCGCACATTTTCACCATCCAAACTTGGGGGAATTTGAATTGCAGCATGTCTGTATTGTTGTTGTTGTTGTTGATTTTTTTTTTTTTTTTTTTTTTTTTTTTTTTTTTTAATGTGCTTTCAGTGCCTTTTCTTGTTGAAACAAGTTTACTTCAAGGTTACAGAATCACGTGACATTTTCCTGTTGCAGTTACCAGTTAGTGCAACTGATTCTGAGCTTGAAGAACGTATTATTCAGCACTTAGCAGCTGCTGCTGCAATGGGAAGGGCACGGCACCTTGCCAGGAGGGAAGGTCAGAGGGGTAGGCCATCAGCCCAAGGTCGTCCCCATTTTCTGGTATTTTCAACTAATCCAAATGCACCTGCTGTGGTTGCTGCTTCTCCTCCTCCAACTCAGAGGAGTGGAGGTGAACCCGCTTCTGTCGTGGCTGCTGGTCCTACATCATCAATTATTGCATTTGGAGAAGGTTCTGCACAGTTGATTGCACCGGCAGCATCTATCCAATCTGGTTGGGTTTCTTCACCTGGATCGGGATCCAGTGGTGGTGTTACTCAACCTGGATCATCATCAAATAACCGGTATCTATCTTACATTGATCACCTGTTTGTGCTTATGGTCTTGGTGAAAGTTATCCTCGTTTTCCATTTCAATTTGGCCAAAGTGGCTACAGATACGCAGTTATCTATTTTGTTTTATTTATTTATTTATTTATTTAATGCCACTGACTCCATTACATTGTAGTATCTGTTCAAATATACTTTCTCAACCTAATGAAGCACGCAGAGTCAACAACACCTCCACTCACTGAGGCTCGATCTCATGACCTCCCACATGGGAGAGGTCACTACATGCCATCTGAGCACAAGGTGTTTGGCACGCAGTTATCTATTTATTTGTGCATATTTTTGAAATACTTCTTTTTTGTCTTGTAGGAGATCTCCTCAGTCTTCTCCTAGTAACCAAGACAGAGCCGGACCATCTGATTTTCAGTCTTTCTCTGAATCCTTAAAATCTCGCTTTAGTGCAATGTCAACGAGGTATTGAGATACTTATTATGTATCTTTTCTGTGTTTATGATCTCCTATTGAAATGTGACTTATCTTTTTCTTCATCCTTTACAGATACAAAGAGTCTATCACCAAGAGCACTAGAGGTTGGAAAGAGAGATTATTTTCTCGGAATAATACTACAGTGGATCATGGTTCTGAATCTAGGAATGCAGTTAGTGCCGATATTGCTGCTGTATCACGCTTGATGGAGCATCTTGAGACTACAGAGACTAGTAGGACCCCGCTTTTTCACGAGCCAAATAGATTAGAGGAGAATTTGCCACCGGATCATCGTACAGAGCAACAAATCTCTGGGATTGACAGTAATCTTCCTTTGGCGGAGGGCAATAGGCAAGCTCCATGTGCTACTACCTCTGCTTTCAACTGAGTTTCAATTCGGCGTTATTAAATTACAAAATTGTCTCCTTAAGTAAGTACTCATATCCCTCCCTCTATATTATATGGTCCAAATTGGTCACTGAACGTAACCTGAAAGTCAATTAGGCCACTGAACACCCCAAATGTATACAATTTCACCTGATAGCAGGTTACCATCAATTTCATCGGGTTGCCTGCTTACGTGGATGTTGAGTTGACATTTTTAAATGAATTTTAATAATAAACTTTAAAAATAAAAAATATATAAAAAATATGAAAATATAAAAATTAAAAACGCTGGGGTGGCCGCTAGAGACGAAGGAGGAGGGGGGAAGGGGGTGGCCGGCGGCCAATCCGGCGTTTTTATTTTTTATTTTTATTTTTATTTTTAAAGTTTATTATTAAAAATTATTTAAAATGCCAACTCACCTTCCACGTAGGCAGGCAACCTGATGAAATGGATGGTAAACTGTTATGATTGCTATCAGGTGAAATTGCATACATTTGGGGTGTTTAGTGGCATTGCACTTTGATTTTGTTCAGTGGCCTAATTGCATTTTCAGGTTATGTTTGGTGGCCAATTTGGCCGTTATTCCTTTTATTTTCAATTTTGCAGTGTGTTCTCAAGATTTTGCAACTTGCTTATGGCTTATTGGATTAAATAAAACTAAAGGGTATTCTAGGATCCTGCTAATCATGTAAAATCTTTAGGGAGACATTGTCAAAGTTTTGCCATAAAAAGGTTGCTTATATATATTCACCATCATGCGTATGTTTATTCAGTAGCTGCTGACAGATATACTAGGATATAAAATTAGGTGTCTGGATATTCCAACTCTTAGAACTTGGAGTAGTTTGGTAAGATGTCGTCACAAAGCTGGGGAAAGTATCTGTTATCGTTCAGTTCACAAGATCAAACTAATATCCAATGGTGCAAGTTGTGTGTATTGGTTAACCCAACCTTGCATAAACACTATGAGGAGCATTAACCTTACAGTGGTTTGGTTTTGCGAGCTTGTCCTATCCATCGAGTATAATTACACGATGAGGTTATCCCTCACAAACTTCTATTTCTATAGTTCCCTTATGTGCATGTAACCGAAAGTGCTAGTCATGCATGACTATTACCCTGTTTGGTAAGATAGTTTATCAGTCAATTTTGGCTTATTTGATCACTATTAGCTGTTTGACTTGATTAAACAACCAATGTAAGTGTTTGATTAATTAGCTTTCGTAATAGCTTGTTGCTCCAAAACACTAAAATTCAAAAAGTTGCTCAAAGCAGTTTTTTGAGAAAGTCATTTTGCATGTATTCAGCTATCAGCTAATTTACCGAACATCTTTTTACAGTCAGTTAATGCTATCAACTAATCAAACCTATTAACCCAATCAGTTAACAACTATTTACCAAACACCCCCTATATATTTTGGTGCATCTAATGGAATGGGATGGTGGGAATGTGGGATATAAATTCTCGTCTACTACTAACTACTAAGAAAAGCATGCAGCATTGTCCAAGCCTTTGAACCCCGTGCTTAGGGATTATATATTATTTCATCTTTTATGAGTAGTAATATGATATAACTTGGCGTTTCTTTTGCCTCTTTTTATTTTGTTCATTTATTTGGCTGAAATCATTTCAGACGGATAACCTCTGAGAACAGCGGTGTATTGTTGCATGGAATACGTTCTGTGGTTTTGCCCTCTCATCTGGCCTTATGATAACCTGCGGAACGAGTTGCTTATTGTAGCCTTTCTCCTATAAAATAGGATAGGATGATTAAGTTTATTTAGTATGAACTTTGAACTGTCATGTATAAAATATGTAAATTGGTCTATATGTTGAATTATTCTTTGAAATATATCTAAATTTTCATTCTATGGTTGATGAAGCTCACCATTTTTCGTTTTGAGAATTCAATCATAGTTTTGCATAACATGAGATGCATCCATTGATAGTTTTCCTAAATGGAATTGTAATATAAACCTCTCCATGTGGCCATTAGATGCAACATATAGATGTTTCCTTCTAGCTTAACCAAAGTCTTATATTTGAGTTTTGCAAATGTAGCTAAGTGGTTTGTTATTCCCTCCGTCTCATTTGATGTGTTGATTCGTTTTACGAGATTTGACTGAAGTTATTTTTAATTCAATTTTAATAATATTAAGTTTAATATTAGTATGCAAAATGTATATATTTAAAAACTCTACTAAAAGTACTATTAAAAATAAGTAAAAATTAAAAATGCTAAAGAATGTTATAAATCAAACTTAGTAAGAGTTAGGTTGACTCATGATTCATGAATAGTAAGTAAGACACATAAAATGGGATAGAGAGAATGTTATTTAGGTCTTAATTGGCACGGATAAATTTAAAATTTTAATTTTCAAATGTTTTCATTGTATCATCACATGTCATTCTAATATTTTAAAGCATGGCTTATTAATAGAAATTTTTTTGAACTTTCAACATAATAATATTTAAATCTTTAAAACTTAATAATAAATCTTTGTATTGTATTTAATTATCGTATCTAATTATATAAAATAATTTAATTCTCTTAATTTATGCATTAACCGGTGTTATAATGCTTGAATATAATATACTTTAATAGAATGTTAGGTTAAAAGTTTAATTTTGAATTTTTAATTTAATAATAAAGTACATTTTGGTACATTATATTTTAAAAAACACGTTATATATTGTAATTATATTTTTAAAAATAGTTTGTGTGCCAACTCAGAAAAGCTGGCCGGGATAGGTTGATTTTTTTTATTTTTTTTTCATAAATTGAAAATTATAATGGTTATGAAATATAAATGTTTGACATTACCTTATCAAATTTTAAAGTTTGGATATAGTTATGGTGCATAATAGATATATTTATCATAAAGGGCTAAGAGCCTAAGACCAAATCGTTATACCCTGCACCACGGCGCACAGTGCACTGTACGCCCTGCGCCTCCCAAAACGACGTCGTTTTGGGAGGCGCGGTAGGAAGTTGACATGATTATGTATATTTGTTTATACAATTATGTATATTTTTTATTATGTACATTTTTTTATACAATTATGTACATCCGAATCAGAAATTTTTTGTGTATTATGTTAAGAGTTGCTGTGTATTATGTTAAAAGTTTATGTTTATTATGTATTATGTTAGATTATGTGTATTATCTTTTAAAAAAGAGTATGTGCATTTTGTTATATAATTATGTACATTCATGTATACAATTATGTGTATTCTAGTATAACATTATGTACATTTTTGAACATGAGATTTTTTTAAAAGGAAAATTAACTGCCAAACACTAGGTAGAAATTTCAAAAATAATAATAATAATAATTGAAACGACATCGTTTTGCATCTGGGCGCACAATGCAACGCGCGCCGTGGTGCAGGATATAAATTGCCGCCTAAGACACCAATGTTTGATATTAAATTAACAAGTTTAATGCTTTAGATATAAATGAGGTAAACCAATCTAGGTTGTCTGTAGTTGACGGGCTCAAACCAAGAAGGATAATAGGCCATTTCGCTTGGGAGTCAACCATGTAACGTTGCGGTTATTAAGTTAATCTTACCAATTAATATGATTATTGATTTATTGTGCGTGCATATACACAGAAATATTAATTATAAATAATATATTAAAAATAGACGATGGTGGTGGATTAGATGGAATGCTCTGTCGGGTCGGGGTGTGGGGGCCCTTAGGGTTGAGGTTCAATCTTTTGGAAGAGTGAATTCAACTCATCACCTATTGTGGTAAAAAATTTTACATTAAAAACTTATCAAGTTATGTCGTTGGTAAGATAAAAGCAGATATTCATGTAAAATATGTGAAATAACTTCATTGGTAGTGTATTAAAGTTTTCGGTAACACTTCTGTGAGACCGCGTCACGGGTCTCAATTCATGAGACGGGACAAATCTTTGATTAATGGGTCAGATTTTTTTACCTCATTAATCAAGGATCCGACCTGTCTCACAGATTGAGACTCGTAAGATATATGGTCTCACACAAGTTTTTGCCTTCAGTCTTATATCTACTTCAATGTAATGTGGATGAATAAGTTTCTCAAACAACTCCCATCAATTCTCTTTTGCATGAGTTATGAGTATTTAACTATCAACCCTAAAATTCTTTAGTTTAACTCCATTTTAAATGAGATATGAAAAACAATTATTTTGCCATACCTAAATGTTTTGTCTCTATGAGGCTTTAAGCTTATTTTATTTTTATTTTAAAAATTTGAGATATTTGAGGAAATTAAAAGACAAGAAAATCTAAATATAGTAATTCTGCAAATGAATACATCCGCAATAAGAATAGAAGTTAGAGTCAAAGACCTCGGGATTGAGCGTTGACTTTGTTAGATGAGAGATCACTGGTTCAAAATGTGGAGGTAGTAGTACTAAAAAAAAAAAGATAAGTGCCAAGATCATATTGAGGAAAGTTTATAAAAAAATATTTTTTACAACAATTTTTAGAAATACTATCGAGCAAAAAACATATACAAAATTTTATATATACAAATATATAACGTATAAACTCTTGTAGTTATATTCAATCGCTGTGTTCAAATGTGTAGACATTACAAATCGAGAAAGGCAAGTTTATAAATGACTTGTAAATGCACACTGAAAATTCCATTTATAATATTTCTATACTACACCATAATTAAATATAATTAGATATATTTATAAAAATTTCTTAATTTACTGCTTAAACTATTTTAAACTAAATGCAAAAGATTATAAAGAATTCAAACAGTGACAATGAGATGATAATACAATATGATATGTAGAAAATAACAACTATTATTGATTAAGAAGAAAATCCAGAAGGAAGTAGAATTTTGGATACAATCGAGACAGACAATGGAATTTTATTAAAATAGTTTTATTAGTTTCCAAGAATTATAAAATGAAATTATTTAGTAAGATGCATGTCCCACCCATACATATTGATGATAATTTACAATTTCTCCAAAATTTTAATTTTTTTTTTTTTTTTACAATGTAGTATCTATTTATAGCTATTTTCTCAACTTATGAAGCATAAAGAGTCAATAGTATCTTCACTAGGAATTGAATATATGACCTCCTATTTGGACAACTTCTTCTTTTTTTTTTTTTTTTTTTTTTTTTTTTGAGAACTTCACTTACCACCTAATATTAATATATCTAATATTTTGACTATTATTTGTAAACCTAGAGATAAGTGGGTTTGTAAAAGCTGCCATTAGCAAGTTTGCAAAAATAACAAACTCACTAACCACGGTGGCATTAAAGAAAAAAAAAAACGAAAAGTTGTTTTTTTTTCTCCCTAGCAAGGGAGAGATTGGAAGGGATGAGGACAACATCCCTTCTGAGGGCTTTCCACCCCTTCCCTGCTCTATTGTGTAGTCACTTCCATCACGTACCTACCTACTGACTTTCATTTGAGTATAGGCTACTTTGGTGAGGAGGCCGGGTTTGGTTACTAAATAAATAAATATTGTAAAAATAATTTTAAGAGTTAATAAATTATAGCATAACATATTTATGCCCTTATAGGTCATTTTACATATAATTAACTAAAAGTAAATAACTAATTTATCATTTTTTTTTACAACCAACTAATACTATTTGTTGTTCAAACCAGCTAACCCTATCAGCTATCAGCTATTTGAATGCCAAACACAATATATTATTATATATTTCATCTTGTATAAATAAGATCAATATATAAAAATGTATATCGTTAAAAATATCTCACTGTAATCTTTTAAATGATACCTATATTGATATATTTTTCAATATATCATTTCAATAATTGTATGATGAATATTTAGTAATGACTTTAATTTATGAATTTATAATAGTAACTTTATGAACTTACTATAGTAACTTTGTAAATGTGACTAATTTTACCGTTGTAACTTTAATTTATAAACTTGCATTAGTAATTTTAAGAACCTATAATATAATGACTCTATGAACCTTTAGTAGTGTAAATGCGTAGTGGCTTTATAAACATGCAATAGTGATTTTATGTACTGGTAGATTCATTTAAAAATTGAAAAAATGTTAATATAGTGTCTGTAAGTGTACAATTTTAGTACACATTAAATCTTTGTTGGTTAATTTATTTAGTCTCACCTGAATTAGAGTTAATTAGTTTTATTTAGTTTAAAACTCCTGTTTTGGACCACTTCCTATTATCTAACTTTTGCATGGCTATATTTTAATTGGTTGATTGGAAAAAGAGAAGTCAGCAATGCAGTGAGTATTTGGAGGCATTCAAATAAAACATGTGGCTTTGATTTAATGAAGAGGTTGGGATGCTAATATTAAGGATCAAGGTGATGGGTTAAACAGCTATAAAAGGAAGCCTCTCCAAAGTGGAAAGTGGTCAATTTCGTGAACTGCTATATTAAGTGAAATCTACACAAGTGCTATGTAAATTAATCAGCTCAATTATATTATTATTATTATTGTAGTTCAATTCTGGTCTGCACAGACAGTACCTGGTACAGCTGAAGCTTCACTTGAAGATTGCTATGGCATGCACGGTTCAGTCCTGAATAGGTGTTAGGAAGGGTTGTAGTGGTAAAGGCCATTTGTACTTACCTCTTGTAATACTCCTTGGTGAACATCTATAGTGGATTGGGAAGACGTGAGTTGCCTCGCAGACGTATGAGAAGCGCTCCGAACTGCGTGATCAATCTCTGAGTACTTGTTTTATTTTTATGCTTTTATATTTTGTTATTTATGTTCATTAAATAACCTAATTAATTGATAATGAAATATCTCTTCTAAAAACAAGTAGAACATTAAAGGTGTAATTGAATTCAAGATTCACGGTGCAATTTCAATTGGTATTAGAACCT